GATAGCAAAGAGGAAACCATCCGCTAGAAGAAAACCGTGGCCCCTCTCACTCCACCTATGAACTTCTAGCCTTTCAGCACCCGAAAAGCCGTTAAACGAAGATGACAGGGAAGGGGGAAGGTCGGGGGGGAGGGGTCAAAATACGATCCCTTGGAGATAATGAATCTTCCTGCACAGGGACTTTGATATAGGAGTCGCTTTTATTACTGGGAAAACTGACGCCCAGGGGAACGTTTATATACATCCTATGAAATAGAAAAGTTCACGATGAATGAGGTAATGCAAGACACATGACGTTTTTTTTATAAGAGTTCCACAAATATATGAACTGTATAAGATTCGTTTTATACTATGTAACGAATATTTGGTTGAAAATTGAATAAAATCGATAAATCGATCAATCGACAAGAACTAGCTTAAGCGGAGCGCTTAAAACTTCTGCCCGAAGCACTACTTGAGACGTCGCGCGCGACGNTTTTTTTATAAGAGTTCCACAAATATATGAACTGTATAAGATTCGTTTTATACTATGTAACGAATATTTGGTTGAAAATTGAATAAAATCGATAAATCGATCAATCGACAAGAACTAGCTTAAGCGGAGCGCTTAAAACTTCTGCCCGAAGCACTACTTGAGAAGTCGCGCGCGACGAGCACGAAGGACGAGTTATCGGCTCAGAAACGGACCAAAGGATCTCGGAGCACTTTTACTTTTTTGACAAAAAACGAGAAGTCGATAAAATCAATAAATCAATAGGGGTGCCGAGGATTAGACCTGATCCTCCCTTCCCCTTCAATATTTTAGCGATCAATTCTTTATTGGGTAATTCTTCGACTTTCGAAAAAGAAAACGTAAAACCCGAACCGAATCCTTCACGAATCCCCTAGCTTCTCACCCCGTGACTCATAGAATCACTCGTAGAAATGGTATAGTACGAATAGTGCACTTGGCAGCTGGCCAGCGATCTGTCCTATTGGTGTGTTTGGACTTTTGCCGTCACACTTACGTACATCAGTGCTTTAGTTAATGCCACAGACAGTGTACTTTCCGATGGAATTCAACATCAATCGATTGATCGTTTTTTCGTCGGAAATCGAAAAACGAAATGACATGGGAAACCGAAAAAAGCTCCCGGTCTGGGAAGGCTCATAATCACCAGTAAAAGCCTCCCTACCAGAGGACTGGAACGTCAGAATGGCTAGGAGGAAGTATTCCATGCGTAGTTCCACCAAATGAAGAGTCCCCGTTTAGATCAATACTTATATTTTGTACAGCAGTAACTCTGTGGTCCCCGCGGTCGTACAGTTAAACTGGTGCATCACAAACAAAAGACCATGATCAACGTTATCAGTGTGATAAGACCGCTAAATTCCCTTCATTCCCCACCGTTGCTATCAGGCCCGTATGGGTGGTGGGAATTGGCGCTCGGCCAAATTTTCCCCCCTACATGATACGATAGTGAACACGACGAGGAGACATCCCCGTCAACGTCTCACGAACGAATTCCAATCGTCGTAAAATCCGACCAAACAAGATGCTGCTGACTGGTGGGGGCTGCTGCTCGCCAAACATACCACGACACCCAGCCGGCTAGCTAGACAGCCGCGCATGCAACACTCACACACTCACGAAGAGAAAGGTAGTCCGAGTGACCGAGAATCAATGCTGATCAATGCCGATCAATATGATCAATGTTGTCATCAAAAGGGGTGAATAGATGGGAAAAAGGACTGAGAATATGGAGACACAATGAAGAAACGATGACACACGCATGTTTGGGCATGGGAAACGAATCAGTGAGCGGGCGACAGAACAAGACATAGATGAAATGAGTAAGTAATGATCAATCAATAAAAGAACCTAATGACACACTCTCTGACCTGTTTCTGTCGGTAACGGCGAATACGATGAGGAAACCATTGCCG